CAAAAATATTTAAGGTAAATGCCTTAAACTTCTATTTTCATGTATTTGGTAAGGTGATGCAGGACTTTTTTACACCACTGTATTACCTTTTCCAGATCCAGATTAAACAGTATACAGGAGAGCGGGTCTCCCTGGTGCAGTCCGTTATTTGGTTTAAAAGGTTCAGACAGTGCCCCGCTGGATTCGTACTCTACATTCAACTTTTTCAAGAGTAAGTTGAGTAAGAGCAAGTTCATTGCTTTGAACATTTCTCTTCTATTTACAGAGTCGTAGGCTGCTTTGTAGTCTATAAATATGTCGTGAGTATCTATGTCATATTCCAGTGTTTTTTCTAAATTTGTTTCAGGTTTGCAAAATAACAAATTTGCAAACATACCTGGTACAATTATTAGCATAGAGTGCAAGATCAAGAGTGACATAATCAATAGTCATGAAAGAAGCATACATGAAAAAGAGAAAACTCAAAAAAGCAGCTCTCATCTTACTTAATGAAAAAAAAAAAATGTGTAGCAAACCCATCAACAGATTGTAGCAAGCTCTGATTGCCAATACTAAAAGAAGTTATACAGATTGAACGAATTTAAAACGGATCATACAATTTAATATATGCCTGGGTTTAGACATTGTATAAAATATCGTTCAACTATCTGTCTCGCAAAAATGTTGTTTGAGTAACAATGTTGCCAATCGCCGTGTAATAATTCGATTTGCGAGCTTTTTGAGAGTTATAGCTTCTTCGTATCTTTAAATAAATCGGATATTTGCCTATATTTTTCATTGTATTTACCAATCTACTACAACAGACTAACAACAAAAATAAACATAATGGATTGTAGTTATTTTCTTTTATTTTCTTGTAAATATTTTATGGATAACACCTTATTTGAGAAACATCACGGAATGAGGTTGACAACACCGCTCAAAGAAGGGCTTGTCCACAGCCACCTTTACTTCTAAAGTAAAGGTGGCTGTGGCTTGTCTAAAGTAGCGATAACTGGTTTGACAGCATAATAAAATCGTAGATTTATGTGTAGCTTTCAATTTTTATGATTTCAGAATCCAGCAGCCCGCTGAAGTATTGGATTTTTATAATATAATTATTTTACAACTTTTTGTTGGCCAACCACCTACAGCAAAATTGAGCCGAAATACATAATATTTCGTATGTTCCGAATTTATTTCGTTCAATCTGAATATTGCCAATATTAATGGAAGATGTAATAAGCCAATTGGCTGCAGTATGACTGGTTATAACAACAAACAGCTTCCGAAAATGAAAAAAGATTCCAAAGTAACTTTAAAGTTATTTTTTTAGTTGCGAATTTTCTTTTGATATTAGCTTCACCGTACACAAACAAATATCTTAACTACTACATGTTTAAAAAATATCTAATTGTATATTAATTCCTGTAAACGATCAGTATCTAAATTAATATATAAAATATGCGATAGTAAATGACTAAGAGGATTTCCTTCAACGAGATTCGATCTAGTGTTTGTAAATAAATTTCCCATATACAGCATACGAAAAAAACAAACTATACCAAACAGCCTTACGCATTAGCAAGCATTAAATTCACTGTGGCAAAATGATTAAAGAAAGATAAAATAAATATAACAATAAGCAGACAGGTTATACTGTATTACATATATCTTATTATATAATTTGGAGTTATCTGTAAGACTATACGGCAAATTCTAACACAATATCTTGTTTAAAATGAAGAGTGTACGTTAAAAGAAGTTTTGTAGTATCAATTCTTTGGAATGGATTTCATGAGTAGAACATAAATTAGTACAAAATTATAAAATATTGCACAAATTACAAAATCCAATGTTACATTTCGGAAATAAATTAAATATTAGTAGAGTAAGGACCACTATGCCAGACGTCAATGTCGGTAAGCATTGAATCAGCATTACCGGTCAACTTATAGCTTAGTACCGTTCAGAACTAAATTTAATCGGGATCAGAAAACCATCCGTCATTTGTCAAAGTATACGGTAGGAAGTGAGAAAATAAACTAAGTGGCAAATACCGACTGAATACTTGTAAATAATTTGTATAATATCAATGGCAGGATATTAAGAAAATAGTTTTTAAGTAAAAGTATGCTGATAAGACGTGCTAATTTTTCCGAATGTTGTGTCATCTCACTTATTTTGTTACAAATAAGTAAATAAACTAATGAATTCTTTTTATAATACTGCGCTCTTTTTTCCCAACAAGATATTTGATAAATTCTTCTACTCTCTTTTTTTGATATTTGGAATAGGCGATCACATTCGCGATTTATGTTAAAAAAGTATTATAACGCAGAACAGTACTTCCTCTTTTTTGTTTTGAGGGTTTAAATTTCAAGTAGATATTTGTTGTTTAAATCTTTCGTTTCTTGTCAAATGCATCAATTTGATGGGTAGCATAACATAGGTTAACATTATTAAATCAGTTGACCTCAGACCATTTTCTTTTGGGGTATTACCCTTGGAGTTCAAAGTCGTTCGAATTTAGTTTTAGCGATGCATTAACCTATTTAAGTTTAAGTAAAATAGGATGTACCGTTTCTGAGCTATGATTTGCTCATAGTTTGTTATGAGCAAACAACTTTTTTTGCTGTTTTATGCATATACTGTTTGTATATAATGAATTGTACGGACCTCGTGTGTTATATGGATCTATGTCAGGGAAAATTTCAAATAATTTGTTGTTGTTCACAAGATCAAAAGATTTTGTATGCAGCTATAGTTTGGGTCCATGCATATTAATAAAGTAATCAACATCAACGTACGAATTATAACCTACTTGCCCCTCCAAGAATCTTGAAACCATGGTGGGTTACTTCATGATCGCCAATATGTGAAGTAAGTACGAATAAGTGTAAGGTTTCATTAGCCTTCTCCCAGCTAGAGGGACTCTGTCGGGAGTGACCATCCATTCCCGAGATTCTCATGGGACAAGAGTTGAGCAGCAATAAACAAATGAAACAGTTTCAATCATCCGGAAACTATTGATTCAGAAGCACTTAGGGGCTGTTCAAGTATAATGTAAGTACTATAGAGGCTAGGCTTGGTTTTGTTTATTTTTGATGACATTAGGAATGGCAGGTCTAGATGGTGATTACGTAAGTAGCAGTTCTTTACTTTTTTACACATATTGCAACCCACACATTGTCTGTTTGAAAACTAATGAACATCTCGACTTTGTAGGAAATGTGTTAGCTGAAGACTAGAGTGCAATGGAAATTTATGGCTATAATGTTACTGCAAAATACACTGGGCCGGGCGAACAAGATCTTCCTGATTTCCTAGACATTAAATGGTATTCAGAACATGTGCGTGAAAGCCAATACTGGCTTGTAAAATGTAGAAACATACAATGCTGTCCTCCAAGAAGTCGCCTATAGATTACTAGACAACAGGTTACTTCCACCACCATTAAAAGCAAAACAACAGTTGTTGATGACTTGGTTTTGGATGATAGAAGGCAATTTTTCAATCTTCCAGTCAATTTAGCTCTACGCTTTTATCTAACGGTAAAATTGAAGCTATTAAGTCGAACATGCAAACCGTGTGGTCACTATCATGGTTCCGTTAACTCACTAAATCGTCATATCGAGAAGATTCATCAAAAAGTTAACACGTACACTGATAAAAGTTAGATCTATAAGATTCGCTGCTTGCCGTGCTAATGCATTGATGCGCATTATTCAAAAGTTACGTTGTTGCTACGATGTTGAATGGCTCGACGAGAACGACCGATGTAGAAATTCATAAATTGGATGAAAGTGAGCAGACACACAACATTGAGCAGCTTACATCTAATATCATCGAAAACTTCGGGGTTCATGGAAATGATGGATTCGGGTGTCATGAACAGAAGATGGAATTAATACGTATGCCAAAAATTTAAGACATTTGTTTTTTTTTCGTAATATTACTAATAGATTATAATATTTCTACATTACTCTATGTTGAATAAAGTGCCAATAAAGTTTGTTTAATTGCATATTATTTGCATTAAAGTCATCTATCCGAAATCTATTTTCTTATTTCTTATTTATCGAATATATATATATATATATATATATATATATATATATATATATATATATATATATATATATATTAAAAGAAAAATGCAGATAAATCAATGCTGACCACAGTTGGCTTATCATACTGTGAAACTTAAACTGTGACTATTGTGCATCCTAATCCCAAGGAGAAACACCATAATTTCCATGGACTGCATAACACACGGAGAAATGTGTTGCCACTTCGACTAAACTTGTGGAAAGCAAATTGACACAGGCAAAAAGAGATGGCTTAGATCATGACTTCAGAGAGTGATTATTCCGAGTAAAAATAAAAATACAAAGGGAAGGTGCAGAGAGGTGACCCCTTCTTCATGTATTCTTTCTCTGTCCAAAATAGGTCTTAATTACTGCAATCAGAGACCTACAAGTAAACCTTCTGAACAGTAAGGCAGAGAAGCGTTATTTTAGCGTTAATACAGAAGCCTGGTGTATACCAGGACCAAATAAAAGGTGTACCAGTTGTTGATGAAGAGCTTATATATAGCAGATCTGCCAAAATCAGATATCAATTATTATTGACGAATATTATGATAAAATAAGATAAAACGTTTGCCTTGGAAACAGAATAGTCTCAGATATCAAGAAGGGAGAATATAAATGTACGTTTAAGAGCTAATAAATGTTGTTGACAATTTTTTATTATAAAATTTTACCTTAATTTTCAATATTTTATTTATCTTTAAAATTAATTTTCCGGAAGTATTATTACACTGACTATTAGTTGAAAATTAATCAGATTCATCTTTAATTTATTTTCGGAATTAATCTAGTGGCAGTCATAAAGTTTTGTTATGAAATTGGACTCATCTTTATGTACACATAATATAATTATAACACTTTTAAGGATTTTTAATGTAATTGCAGTGCAAAAATATACAAAACTAAATATTAAAAAAAGTTTCTTACCATATCTGTAATTTAATTTTTTTCCCATCTAAGTCTATTGTTCTGATTTTAAAGTCTATACCTAGAAGATAAAAAGTACAATAATGAAAATAATATAAAACACTTAATCTAAATAACTACTAAAAATATTAAAATACTTTATAAAAAAGCAGTGCCATTATATATTACATAATGCTTCCATATGGAGGTAATTTACTGAATCTATTTTTTGATGTTTCTGTACTTAAGGTAGTCTACATATTTTCTTCACGAAAAAAGTAATTTATGTCACAAAAAATGTTTATATAAATACTAATAAGACCTTTAAAAAGGGGCTAATAATAGATTAAGAATAAAATTTTCCTGTTTGTTAGTTCTTATTTACCTCGTTAGTCTCTTAATGTTACCTTTTCCTTAATTTTTTTATCAGACAAAAAGCTATTGTTTTGATGCTGTTTTTTTTCTCCCTTAAGAGCTGGGTACATTAAAGCATGTGATTTTTGATCGTGCAAACTTCCGTATGTTAAATCAAACGTTATACAAGAATCTACAAACACTAATTTAAATGTAATTCTATGTACACATATATGTACGCAATATGAAAAAGCTCCTCATAAGCAAGGATTTGTCTCTTCCCCTAAAACTACGTCTAGTTACATGCTACAGTTTTCCGATATTTCTGTATGGTGTGGAGGCCTGGACGCTGACGGAGACGCTCACGAGAAAACTAGAAGCATTCGAAATGTGGGTGTACCGATGCATTCTTCGTATATCCTGGACCGAACATGTCACCAACATAGAGGTACTCCAAAGAACCGGAAAGGAGAAAGAAATCGTGAATACAATTAAACAAAGAAAGCTTGAATATCTAGGCCACATATTGAGACACGATAAGAACCGTTTGCTGCAATTGATTGTGCAGTGAAAAATAGACAGTAAGCGAGGGCCAGGGAGGAGAAGACACTCGTGACTCCAAAATCTGCGGAAGTGGTTCGAGCTCACATCGGTCGAACTATTCAGAAGCGCCGCAAACAAGATCAGAATTGCCATGTTAATAGCCAACGTTCGCAACGGACATGGCACTTGAAGAAGAAGATGTACACATAATATAAATTTCTATAAAATTTTTATAAGCATCTAAATCTAAGTTAAGTAAGATATAAAAAAAATAATAATTAAAAAAATATTAAATAAATAAAAGAAAAAAAAAACAAAAAAAAACACATACACAAAGAGGGCCTACCGAGGTGTTAGATCGGGTTTAGGTCTTATTGCCGTGAAAAAAAATATTTTAATATTTATTATTATTTAGTATTAGTTATTACCAGTATTTCTTAACATATAATGTATCTCTGAAATGCTGAATTGGGAAAATTGTATAGATGAAAATGATAATTTTGATAAAAATTTTGAGCAGCCAATTGGTTTCATATTTTCCCTCAACCATGGGCACCACCAGGATTACTTTCAGGGGGATGCATCTGCTTTTCAGGGGGGCGCATTTGCATTTACACATACTATTAACCAAACTTACCAGACAGGGGATACAATTGCACTCCGCTGCCGGCACCCTTTTCCAAAACTATTATCATAATTATAGACAACTGCTTCCTTTCTTGCATATACAAAAATTGACAAGACCGTTTTACAATTTCTCTGAAGATAGGTGGGTGTTTTGCCATTTTTAAAGTCATCTTCATATATGACCTTGTTGTGATGGTATACTTTGCATTACAATTCTATTACTAATTACCTGTATTTTCTGTTTTGAGAGCAATTTCAACGGTTAGGTACAAGAAACCACACTACAACCATATAAAGGTATCAAGAATAATCTTCATGAAGTTTGTAACTAAACTAAATTTATAGACTATACTTGCATTGGCTTCAATCCAATGAACTATTCAGAAAACTTATAGATTTAAACATCAAAAACCCATATAACATAATGTACCTGCTCGCTTTTAGAGATAAATGAGATTTACAACTGTTTGGTATCATTCTAAGAAAAACAAAAATTCAAATATATTAACATGCTTTTGTTTGTTCCGTATGATTTTCTTGGATGTATATACCTAAAACAATATATATTCACATATTCAGAAAGCATATTTACTTCTTCTTCTTCTTGTGCCGTCTTCTAACGAAGGTTGGCGATCACTTCTTTAAACGCTTCTCGATCTTTTGCAACGTGAAATATCTGTTCAACACTGAGGTTACCTCAGGTTGAACAGTTGAACCTCAGTGTTGAACATATTTACTTACAACTATTTTATTGTTTGGCATTTAAAATATGTCAGTCCCTAGCCAATCGAAAAGTGGAAATTGTTAGATTACTAGCTGTGGTTCTGTAAGTCAACTATAACTTAATACTTTCTTGTATTTATTCTTACATACAAAAGCTTAGATACAAAAACTTAAGGAGAGAGGAAAAACGCATACACCGAAAAGAGAAACGAAACTCGGAAAATGACATATTAGAACGGCTTGAAAACCATATGAGTCACGGAGAAACAATAAAGTTCTGTCATCAAATAAATATTATTAGAAAAAAATTCAAACCTAGAATCACCTATTGTAATGATAAGTAAGTTAACTTACTTACCAACCTGGAGGATATCCTGTTACGATGTGTTCGAGAGTTGCTGGAAGGGGAACCTACTAACAATATAGAGCTGGAATACCGAAATGAGGAACTCGCGGAACCCCCCTTGGTAGATGAAGTGAAAATATCTATAGAAAAACTAAGAAACCACAAATCCCCAGGCAGCGATGGTATCCCACCAGTTATATAAGCACGGTGGAGAGCAGCTCACCAAGGTGATGCCAAAAATTGTTTGTAAAATTTGGTCTGAGGAGCAAATGCCTGAAGAATGAAGCTTAGGCTTAATTTGTCCGTTACACAAAAAGGGAAACCAACTGGAATGCAATAATTACCGCGGAATAACTCTCCTAAATACAGCATACAAGATATTGTCAAACATTTTGCACAAGAGATTGAAGCCTTATACCGAAACTTTTCTAGGAGAATATCAGGCAGAATGCAGGCGTGGACGTTCAACCATTAACCAGATCTTTACACTACGACAGATCCTCGAAAAAGCGCAAGTCCTTGTGTCTTAAGACCAAGTCTTGAATGAGTTTTAAATTCCAAAACAAAAATCATATGTTTGATAAAAGTAACAAGGGCGAAGATGCTATAAGCAGTAAAAATTCAAAGCGACTGGTCAACCCCATTTGAAATACATAGGAGGTTAAGGCAGAGAGATGCGCTGGCGTGTCAGCTTTTTAATGTAGCCTTAGAAAAAGTTGTACGAGACGCTAATTTAGATAGCAGGGGAACAATATTTAATAAATCAGTCCAAATTCTAGCATATGCAGACAATGTGGACATTAAAAGAACCAGGGCGAGAACTGCGCCGAACATATCAATCAAAATAAAACCAAATTCATGGCGACTAACACAAACACAAGAGCTGGAAATGTTGACGCAGATTTAATCATCAATGACCAAAACTTCGAAGCAGTCAAAGAGTTCATATATCTAGGGACATTAGTTAACCCCAATAATAACACACTTGAAGAAATAAAAAGGCGAATAATAATTGCAAACAGGTGTTATCATGGCCTATCAAAGTACTTAGCTAACAAACGTATGTCTGAAAAAACTCGTATAAGGCTGTACAGAACACTGATAGTCCCCGTTCTCACATATGAATAAGAGGCATGGACGCTAACTAAAACAGATGAATCAACTCTATCGATTTTTGCAATAAAGGTGCTACTCAAGATATTCAGAGCGGTCTGTGAGAACGGAATATGGAGGCGTAGGCATCGAGCAAAAAGACAATAGAGGGAATGTAAAGGTAGTGGGGGCAAACATATTGTTAGACAGGAAGTGCGATCTTTAGAGGCCACTTTAAACAAGGAAAGAGAGTCTCTCTCCTTGTTTGACATCAAATTTAGTTGGGTTATGTTATTGTTTATCCCAAATGTCACATGAAATCTTATTTATATTGAAGTTTTTTAACAATTGTGTCGCATTTTAGACTCTTATCATTAATAATTAATTAAAACTTTCTCGTCTAAGACACATTTTGAAAAATATTATATAGCTACTGCTGATAAGTGTCGGAAAATTTAAATTTCGCGCATTCGCATTTCCGGATATGTCCGCCATCAGAGGCCACTTTTTTGGTCTCCTTTTTATAAGGATTAGATTCCCTCTTTTGTCTTATTGCTCGATGGGCGTAGGTATACCTTTGAACTGCAGAATATCTACAAGCATACGTTTGGTGGTAAATATATTACCACTATAATTAAGCGAAACCGCCTGCAGTGGGCAGGACATGTAGCTCGGGCCCCTGAATCTAACATGATAAAAAAGATTCTAACAGCGCAGCCCGTAGGAATGAGAAGACGGGATAGACCAAAGCTGAGGTGGATGGACGGGGTAACACAAGATGTCGAGAAGATCGGAGTCAGCAACTGGAAAGTGCAAGCAAGGGATAGAACAGAATGACGTAGAAAGCTTGAGAAGGTCGAGGCCCTCTAAGTGCTGTATCATCAAGATGATGATTTATTCTTACATTTTTTATAACAATATCAAATAAGTCAAATTTAAAGTATGGTAATTATATTCTGTATAAAATTTACTTGTGTATATATTTTTTAAACAATTAAAATATGTCAAGATATTCTGTTCTTCTATTCTGAGATAACAAATTGAATTTAATATTGTTTCAAATTTATTCAGTACTTTATCTCTATAAAATAGTACTTTATCTGTACAAAATATGTTTTAGCAGACTTCATATGCCGTAGGTATAGAACACTGCCTACTTTGAGAAAAATAGCAAAAGAGAAATCCAAACTGACCATGAATATGCAGTTAAAATAAAGAATTCTGTTATTATAACATTTGCATTCCAAAGATAAATATGAACATGCTATCAGGACTCACGTATATGGAATGTTTAGTAAAAGCATTAAAACATTTAATCAATTACTAAAGATTAGTTCTTTGGTAAAATGATATAATTCTACTGGAATACATATATTTATTGTGTTATTTACTTGTAC